TTGGTTTTAAAGGTCAGCCCTTGTTATTTTCCGCTAATTTTGCTAAATTTTAGACCTATGACACTTGAGCCTGCATTGTTGACCGCATACCCGCTGACGTAGCATTTCATTATTCAGCTCTGTCCACCAACTCAGGAACCTCTGGATTGTAGAACAAATTCTCCTTGGCAGCAACTTAGGAGATGTGTAGAGAAAAGTATGGAGAATATGCATATTGATGTTAGGGTGTCAAGGGTTAAACATGCTTTAAACTGCCTTGTTTCTGCCACTGAACTTTTTTGCCACCAAGTTCAACAAGACCCCTTTTTTTTACCCTGCACATAGTTTAAAACATCTAAAAAAAGCAGTATGTGTACCTCCTCTTCTAAAAGTCACAAGAGCAGGTCTTGCCATGTCATGTAAAACCTTGACCATTACATGAAGAAGATTCTGCTCCCGTACAACTTTCTCTGCCAGGATTTTGTTGCTAAACAACTGTACACTGACATGTACTACACGGTTTGACAACTGGTCCACACTGTCACTAGAATCACTGTTCAGCACTAGTGCTTTGGCAATCTTCTGATAATTTTCACAGAATACTCTTGTGAATGCTTCCTGTAACAGAAACCAGTGGCAAATTCAATATCAAGAGTATTTTTATTTCTGGAGAAGGTCAAGGCCAAGGTCAAGGTCAAGGATGTTGGGTCAAAGTCAAGGTCAAAGGTTGAGGATTAAAAAGAAATCTCACAAACCTTATATTTAGCAGAAGGTAAAAAATGAAGAAGAAACGTCACTACTTTCTGCGGGAATTCAAATTGTGTCACAAAATCCATTAAAAAGTCCAAAAATGTTTTGTTTGTAACATCGTCTGCACTATCAGATGACAAGACACTTGAAAATGAGTCTGAACTATCCATCCTGTGAACCGAAGAGTGCCCAGTCCCATGGTGTGACCTAGACATAGTTGATGATACTCCTGAGTCCTTCATAAATATTCTTTCTACATCTACGGTTTTCATGATCAAGGATTCAGCAGTGACATTTTTCATGGTATTAGTGTCGCACAACTGAACTAGAAAATGAAGGAGGCCTTCGGCATCATTCATGTCATCGGTTACTGTATCTGAAATGAAACAAAGCTCAGTTATCCATGTTCTCCACCACTGAAACATGTAGAGTTGAACCTTGAATTATCTGGATTTCACGATTACATGTATTCAGACTTGCTTCTCAGGTCCCATTTATATAAATATTAATTAGTCACATTGGAGTGAGATCCCCATTACAACTTTTTCCCTTCCAACAGAACATATGTACTGAAACAATGATGTCACTATTTCACTCAACCTCAAAGAATGATGGAATGAGTAACACGCACGTCTTTTGGTTAGCTATAATTAGCTTTTTGGTGGTAGTTTTGGTGAATGTTACCAATGAAGTGCAAACATTTGAGAAATATAGCTTATTAGAAGTTTTATTGTGTAGTATCACTGAGTATTTTTATGAATTGTGCTGTATTTTGACAAGCCCATTGTATTTTGACGAGCCCATAGGGCGAGTCAAAATAAAAACAACGAGTAAAAATACTCAGCAATACTACACAACAAAACGTCTAATAAGAGATTTATTATCCAACACACCAAATTGTTATTTCAGAGTGGGCGAATTTCGCAGATATTTCTGGAGTACAAATATCGCGTGATCTTTGTACTCATCTCGTGCCTTATTTGTACTCTGCAAAGCACAGTTGGATAATAATGTCCATTATTGGTTAAATGATATTTCTTCAGTTTCTTCAGTATTAATCTTGGCCCTTTAATACTCATATTTTCAATTATCTGAAACCCTGATTATCTGGACAATTCAGCCCAGTTCCCAGGAGTACAGATAATTGAGGTTAGACTGTAAAGCACTTATGATCCTGCACACTTTTCAACTGAATGTCTTATATCACCACAAAGTACAGCAAGAACACAGCAAACCTGCATTACATGTAAACTTTCTTCCAACAGTCAGTTGAAAATTACTCTAGAATACTGAAACACAACTCAAAATGTTGTCAAAACTCATTTCATTGCAACACAGAGCTGAGAAATTCATGTTATGTTGTACAGTGTACATACTCTTTCCATGACCTGTTTACTGGAAAAATGTTTTGATACTGCAAAGAAAACTTAGCAGTAAATGTTCATTATTTCTGGAAGTTGTCCACTTCAAATCATTATGGCTTCTTTAATTTTTCTATCCAAGATACTAAAAGTTGAAGGTAACAAGTACATGTAAAACTCCAACAAACCTAATGTATATGGCTCTAGTTCTTTCAACTGCTGTTGTAGTCTTAGACATAACCTTGGAACAACAAATTTGGCCATTTCTAACAATTCTGAAGGGGGAGTTCTGGTAACATGTGTGTCCTTTCTTCCATGACGACTACAAAACCTTCAAAAACATGAAGAAATCATTTCAAATTACACACACACATGTACGCATGTCAACTATAATCATTTTAAGTATACAGTCTTCTCAACTTACTACGAGAGAAACTTTTAAGCAATATGTTTTTTTTTTCAAAGAGCTACAAGATCATAGAAAATTTGTATGAATTCAGAAACACAACACAAATAGACTTCTCCATTTGTATAAATGGTCTGGCAGGTCAATTTTGACTTATATGTATATGTATGCATGCAAATCTACTTAAAGTTTATTTGGAATTTTTCTTCTGAACATTTAAAATGCTCTACAGAAGAAGAATTTCAATAATAGTATTCATATTCCATCTTATAATACACCAGTAGAATAAGATAAATATTTAAACTAGACTACTAAAGTATTCAGGGCTCAACACTAACTTTTCAACTTACTAGCCAAGTGGCTGGCGACATCTTAGAGGCAATGACAATGTCAGTTCGTTTAATAGCCAAGCTGGCTGATGGAAACCGAAAACCACCAGCCAAAACTGAATCTCTACTAGTCTGTGGCTCATGGGCTACTGTTAGTGTCGAGCCCTGGTATTTATCAGTGCTTTACGGTACTACATGTTTAGGCGTTTGCTTACATTTTAGCCCAAGCCTACCTATTCTTGAGCACACTGAATTATGGGTCAAAAAGCCAGGATTCCAGCCCTGATCGAGTGACTGTTTGATGCTGTCAGGTAAGATATACAATACCCTCTACTTACGTGTACCCTCACAGTGGTTCTCTCCATCCAGCAGGAGTACAGATGGGTACATGTGAAATGTCAATGAAACCTGATATAATACTGGAGGGGGGGAGGGGTGGGGATTGGAGTGTAGGTAAACTGTGGTGATCAAGCTATCCCATCCAGGAGCATTTACATTCCCAGGCATTTCATGCTTTGAAAGGTTTACAATTGTATTTACTTTAAAAAGCTCCATTGGAGGAGAATGTCAGCAATGGTATTTAAAATCTTTCTTTTTTTTTTTTGATTACTACTGGAAAATCAACTATTAAAAATTTACAAATACTTCATGGTGCTTCACTGCTATACTCCAAGGCCAACTGGTTTTAACAGAACTGATTTGCTGAGAGATGTAAATCCGGTATTTTACGCAATGGCGTTATGTTACCGTAATTCTTATACAAAAACATCAGGAAATTTTAACTCGCACCAAATTTCGTTGAGAAAACATCAAAATAAACGAGATGAATTGAAATTGTAAGAGACAAAAGTTTCTTGCAAAATCGTTCGGAATCGCCCCAGGAGATCACTGCGATTAACCTCTCAACCTTACACTGAATCAAAACAACTCCAAATACGTCAGCAAGGACAACGGATGATCGATCAAATTAATTAACACTATAAGAACTATTCAGAGGAAATCTCTCAAAGCTGTAGAGATCTATGTAGCCTTCTAGATCTGCCATCAATGGCTTAGAGAGGTAAATCTTTAAATACTGTACGCACCCATCTGATTTCATAACATCTTCGTCTCCACAGTCACAAGCTCCACCAGCCTGACTTTTAAACATGTTGAAATCATGGCCGTCGTGATTACCAGCGTGAAAACAGTCCGCACATAATGACATACAGGGCGAGATTCCACAATCTCTACATCGGTATGCTACAAAGTTTCTATTCCACACCAGACCACAGATCGTCGGCGAGTCAAATGACCTCAAGACATTTTTAAATTCCTCTGGAGGCCTTCCACCGGCGATTAACCACAAACACCAATCTTGACTTTCTGCATCAAATGAATGTTTTAAACAAAGGATGTCATCTAAAAACCCTCGTATATCACTTCTTCCTTTTTCTGTGTGGCATAGAGCCTTAAAATTCGCCGCTTTTCTCTGCTTCTCTCTCACAGAGAAGCTGTGTTTATCCGCCATATTTCATATTTTGATAATGTCTCTTGTCTTTTGTCACTGTTGCTTGGTGTCGACTGCTCATGCGTAGTTTATGGGAACGTTGGAAACTGAGTCGAGTAGTATCACGCATGGGCAGAACTGTTCCTTGCTTTTCAAAGATGGCGACCAGTGCCGTGAGTACGACAGATCGCTTTTATTTCACCAAAGAACAATTGGAAAATACGCCATCAAGAAAGAATGGAGTCGATCCGGAGAAAGAGCAGAGTTATAGGCAACAGGCAGCAACGCTTATTCAAGATATGGGACAACGTCTCTCAGTGTATCCTTTCAAAAAAGAAAGTTGCTAGTACGCCTTCCTCAATCCGATGGTAGTTTGTGCGTTGTAACATACAATGTAGCCGTGCGAGTAATACGGCTTAGCCGGTGAAGTACTCTAAAGTCGTTGTTGTTCAGTGTGTTGCAACAATGAAGTAGATATTCTTTTGTTCCTTGACATGGCTCTCAGGAGCCAGCTGACGATAAACACTGCCATCGTTTACATGCACAGATTTTACATGTTCCATTCATTTAACAAATTCCATCGAAACGTAAGTATATAGAGAATATTTCCGCTTATTTCCTTTTTTGAGGTTATCTCATTTGAAACTGGATTCGTAGTTTTTTGCTAATTTTTCACACGAATAGTTTTTCTTTGAAATTAATGTAGTGTTTTTTTCATGTAGTGTTTTCATGTAGTGTTTCATGTAGTGTTTTCATGTAGTGTTTTCATGTAGTGTTTTTTTCATGTGTTTTTTTCATGCATATATACTCACACAAGTAATTTCCGTGTGAGGCATAATTGAGTACAAATGTCGTCGACCGTGAGGATTGTGTTTTACACCAATATTATCTGTCGTGTTTGCATGAATTTCATTACCTAATTGTGTTTTATGGGTCAACTCTCTTATTTAACTTCTTGCTTCTTTCTTACTCTCAATTATCCACTGTTGTGTCTCTTGATTATGAACATTTGTACTTTTGGATGAAAGCCAATATTTGTTTTCTTTATGTCACTCATTGTACAAAAGCACAGAAACCTCCCTGTTTTATCTCCTGTCATTTTTACCTGTTTTCTGTGGGCAGGGTTGGCGACCAGTCTTAGCCAGGCCAGTATTATGTGCCACATGGCATGAAGAAG